AGGGCCCAGATGTCAGTTCTTATTTTGTGTTACCCATCCATTTTTTAAACAGACTTCTATTTTCACTTCAGTGCTTTTTTAGGAGTGCCCCCAATTATGTAAGGATTGTGTTTTGTGAAGAGACTTTTAAATAATCCTTCGCTATCAGTTATCTTTGCCTCCTCTGGAGCCTGCTCAGTGTTGCTGAACGTTCTGAAGCTTGAAGTCATCTAAGCTCAGCAGAAACATTTTTTTCTCAGAGGAAACCAGTTTGCTGGATAGTTTTAAGTAAAAATTTTAGATTATAAACTCAGAGCTTTAAAACAAGATTTCTCTGTAACATACCCCGTCGTTCCCCAGCGATTCTTATCAGGAGAGTGATCTGACATTGATTAGTAACCTGTGCAGGAAACCATTGTTGGTCCATGCTCCAGCTTTTCTTCCGTTAAGAGAAATTCAAAGCATCTTAATGAAGGGTATGCGCACGGGAGGCTAGGTAGTGCTGAGGGTGTGGTTTTTAGGTATTTTGTCATTGGATTTTTTGGTCAGGATCCTTAATGTTTTGCATCAGCTTGGGCTTTTAAATTAGATGTGAAGTAAGACTTCTTTCTACATTTTTGTAGTTAATTTAGTGAAAGATGTGAAAGTGAAAGCTTGTGAAAGATGCTGGGATTGGCAGCCCCGCAGACTGAAGTCCTCTGTTCATCCACAGAACAGGTACAGCACGGGCAAGATTCACCCACCCACCCTCAGCCCTGGTCTGGAGGGACCACCAGTAGGGGTGGGAGGGTAATTCAGCTTCTGAGGCCCTTTCACTCCTTGGAGTCTTTGCTGAGGTGACTTACAAAGGTGACCATTGCAGTGAAATTTTTCTTAAAAAAAAAAAAAAAGTGGAAACACAATTAGGAACTAGATGGACATTTCCAGCTCATATCTTCAAGGCCTGTGAACAGCAGTCAGTAATTCTTGGACTTCTTTTCTTATTTCAGATCCAAAAAGCTAATCCAGGAATCTGATCAGCACCTGAAAGATGTAGAAAAAATTTTGCAGAACGACAAACGGTATCTAGTACTAGACTGTGTGCCGGAGGAGAGGCGGAAACTGATTGTGGCGTATGTGGACGACCTGGACCGCCGGGGCCCACCCCCACCTCCCACAGCGTCAGAGCCCACCAGGCGATCAACAAAATAATTCTGCATACTCTTCCACAGGGGTATCTATTAATTCAAAATGCTTGCATGAGCCAATTTTCAGGTTTTTTACATGTATGTGCATTAGTCAAACTATTGCAAAACCATCTGACGAACAGAAGGAGAAGCATTCGTGAACAGTTGCTGAACAGAGAACACTTTGGAAATATTTATGCTTTTCTTTGTGTGGCATGATTGACATACATACTCAAATATAGGCTGTCTCTAGTAAATCTAAACTCCTGAAGCTAAAAATCATCCCTTTATGAGGTGTGGAAGTCAGTGACTTGGTGACGTTCCTTCTAGCAGTGTTATACATGCAAGATGTAAGAGCATTTGTGGTTTGAACTTGCAAGATACAAACACCACAGACTCCAAGAAAACCTAAGTTGGGGTTTGTTTTGATTTTGTTTTTTTAAAGCGGGTAAAAGAGAAAACACTGAAAATTGAATTCTTATCTTCCAGAGGTTAAGATTATTATAATGGACATACTTTTACCTTTGTCTCTAAAGAACACTTTAGTTTTATTTGTTCACGTATGTGCTTTGATTATCCCTCTGAATTAGAGGCCAAGTCTTGTTTAGCCTAAGAGAAGATTTATTAGGAATTTCTTCTCAGGTATGGAACCACGGCCTAACTAACATGTAGGCCAGACTAGAACTGCTGGTTAAACACGTTCACCATTAAGTGATCTTTATCGATATTCTGGATTAGGCAACAGATGACCTTCCTGGGTGTTCCCTGTAAACTGTACTCCTGTTTGAATGTTAAACTTTTGTTTCTAAAGTTTAATTTTAAGATGTTTGAATGTTCAGTTTATGTATTTGAACTACAATAAACCAGCCCTTTTTCTATATGTGGATTGTATATGATTATGTTACATAATTTATAAAAACTTTTAAAAAACCTGTTCTTAAAAGCAGCAGCAAATGTAATTTGATACCAAAAAAAGTTGACTTTAAGTCTTAAATATCACAGTTTTGAGACTTGAAGATAATAATAAATTATTTGCAGTGTCAAAGGCCGGGATTTGTAAAGAACCATGTTGGTGCTCAGTCTCAGCAATATCTTTCTGCTTTGTAGCAAGAAGCTGATTTTTATTTTCTTGTTTTTGCCTTTTTATATGAACATATTGACAGTTAACGCTCCTGGCATCCTCTCAACGTGCTGTGCGCACTGCACCGGGGAGCTTCACCTCTGATCCCCAGCCGCTCTGCAGTCTTACCTCCCAGCTTAAAAAGATCCCTGTCTCATTCCTTCATAGGGTCCTGGTGTCAGTGTACCACATGAATAAATGTTTAGAAAAGTGCACGTCAAGAGTATAATCTATTTTTTCTGTTAATCTTACACATACTGTGACTGTAACAAAGCTAAAAAGAGGGAACACCAGCAGATCTGTGTTTATGTTACATGCATAGACACGCATCACACACACAATCACATCTGGGTTACTTAGTGCTTAGCTCAAACACATTATATGCCATAAAACTTACATGGACTTGGTATGTCATGACCTGGATTTGATTATTTCACTAGGGTCTTAACCTGTAAAATTGCTAATTAACAGGACTTTTTTTTCTTTTTTCCTCTTTTTCATTTTTTTAATGTAGTTTATTTTTATAAGTTTATTGAGTGATTTTTAAGTTCTCTGAGGAGTGAAACTGAGGTGTTTGATAAAAGAGACACGACTATTATAAAAATAGGACTGTCCTGCACAAGGTGAAGCTCCTGCACTGTTTTGTTATTTGAATTCCTCATAGTATTTTGCTTCTCACAGTAGGGAAGTGTGAAGAAACCGGTCTGGCGATACCTAATTCCCTACCGTTGTAAAGTATTTGGGGTTGGTTGCTCATGTAGGTTGCAAATCAAACTCTTCTGTGCCCATTTCTTTAAGGGATCAAGCCAGGACTTTGTGTGTTCGGTTCCGAATGAAAGGGTTGTTGTACTTAGACTGTGTTTCAGTATCTGCCCCTGGATTTGCTGCTTATCAGCAGACTCTTTAAAAATGAATGATTCAGTTTACCCTGAGACCTGTGTGAAGGTCTCACCGCCCATCAAGACCATTGTGCTGAGTGATTTTGATGAAAAGGAGCATTCACAACAGACTTTAATTCTCCAAAACTATCTGAAGTGAAACAATTGTCTTTATTTGTTTATAAGTTAAAATATCGAACACTGGAATCTTGCATCCTACATTTACTATATATAATCATACTATATATAATGTACATAAAAATATTTAACTCAAATAGTTTATCACAGATAACCTTATTTTTGTATAACCTATCACAAAAACAATATTTTGGATACTTAGGTTAAATTGTACTTTATGTGATCATGTGAGCCTTAGAATAAAATTTGTAATGAACCAAGTAAAAAGAAAACAGCCCTATCTTCTGTGTTAAAACAGACCATGACCGTTTGTGAAAAGAAAAACCAAAAAAATCCACAGACCGAACATTTAAAAAAAAAAAATTCCATCCACAGCGTATTTTTTATATTTCAAATTCTTCATTGCTTGCCTTAAAGACAGTTTCTCCCCCCGAGGGAATCCTTCAGTGAGAACGCCCCGGAGTTCATTACAGAGTAATCAGGAACCATGAGTAAATGTCCTTGCTGTTTTTAATAGGACAGGAAATGTATCATAAGCACGTTTTTGGGGGTGTGCTTTAATGTGCTGTAAAATGAACAGTTATTACCTGTTCAAGTTGTACTGGTAGTATGTTTGGGACACAAAATTTAATTGTATTGCTTCTCTTTCTGAGTTGCCCTTGTTTTTTTGTTTTCTTACTGTTGTTCATCTTTATAACTTAAAAACGGAGGCATTTTAAAAGTGGAGCAGGGTTCAAGTTCAGTGTTACGGGTATGCAGTGCCATTTAACAAGAAGGCTCATCTGGGTCCCCCCTTTATAATTCTATTTGATGATTGCCTTCAGTAATTAATACCTATATCATTAGCCATGGCTTACAGTTTATCTTGAGAGGAAGGAGATATTGGGAGGAACAGATTGATCTCAGCTTGTAGAAGAGTAAACTGCCTCCTGTATTTGGGAGGAATAAATAATTGGGAAGAGAGAGAAGGGTCATTTTTTTAAAGTTCTTTCTCCATATCAATATAGAATGTCCCTGAGCTGCTAAAATCCTCAGACTCAGACACTGAAGACTCACTGAGGTGGCATTTAAAAGATCAGAGAAGCAGGTTTTAGTATAAGGTGAAGTTTGGATTTACTTAAACCAGCCAAAAGAGGCTGTGATTTGAAATTAGCCCAGAGCTGGAGTAAGGAGATGTTCCTTAGTCTGCAACCCTCAGCCTCAGAAATTCTGCAGAGATTTTCGTCAAGTAAATTATTTTAAGCAAATGAAGGTAACTCATTGAAATTGATTCGTTAGTATGTTCAAGACAAAAATCTCCTGTGGACGTAGATTTTGAGTTTTTGTTCGTGTGGAATAAAGTTTGGTGGGTGAAGTTGGGGCCAAAGCAGGTTCGGAGGAAGCCAGAGGGGAAGGGGTTCAGCTTTCGACAGACAAGCTCCGCTGCAGCGGGTACAGCAGCCCCTGGACAGTGACCACAGCCGGGCGCTCACCACGCGCAGCACAGTTCTTGGGCAGCCGGGTGTTAATTCTGAAACATAATTACTGCTCTTAACATGGCATTCTCTCTACTTACCAAATTGCACATTTTGGAAATGCAAACTGGGAAGCAATTTTTGTAATTAATTCCTAAAGGTAATTCTATCATGTTTTATATGGTAAAGTCAGCCATATTGATCAGTAGCAGTACAAGTAAATACAATGACCACAATTTGCTTTGCTTTGAAACCTAGTCCTTTATCACTCTCCTGTCTCTCGGTCTTCATGTTCCCAGGGGATAGGGTCATTGTCTTGTACACAAGGGTTTGTGTCCCTCTCGTGCCAAAACTGCTCCACGTCGGGGAGGGTGGGAGCCTCTGCCTTCTCCGTTTTCTCTTTTCTGGAGGAGGGAGAGCCAGTTTTCTCTTGCTCAGGGATGGATGTTGGGGACTCTGGCGAGGGAACATTGTCGGGAAGGACCTCCGAGTGACCGGCTGGTGGTTCCTGAGACGCCGAGGCAGCTGGGTGCTTTTTGGCTCTCACCCATTTCCATAAGCCCTTCAGGCATGCCTTGAACTCCCCTGACATCATGAGAAAAATGAGAGGATTTGCGGAAGAGGTGGAAAACATGAGGACTTGAGACAGGGCTATAAAGCCCTGCGGCGGGGCCGGGCCGCCAGCCTTCAGGTGCCACATCCACAGCCACGCTACCCACTCGGGGAGCCACAGAACAGCCGAGGCGATGGCAGTGCTGAGCAGCATCACCGTGAGCTGCTTGGAGCGCATCTGGTTTCTAAGATGCCTAGTCTTAGTGCCTCGTTTTTGGCATTGGCCATAAGCTCTCCAGAAATAAAAGCTGGCAGAGAGTAAAGGAAGGCAAAACACCAGGAGAGGGTAGAGCTTACCAAACACTGATGCAAACACTTCGGTCTCCGCGGGCACGTCCACGAGGCACATCTCCACGCCTGCGAGAACCCTGCTGGTGCTGAAGAAGCATTCTGGCAGGGGCAGCAGGCCGGCCGCCGCCCAGATGGCCGCCAGCACCGACCAGATGGTGCAGCTGTGGACGCTGACTTGCTTGGCTGGGTCGCTGGCGTACACGAAGCATACTTTGGCCACTGCAACGATTGTCAGGCTCTTGGCTGCCATGCACGTGTGGACGAACCAGTCGGAGGATTTGCAGAGAAACCAGCCCAGATCCCAGACGGCCCTGGAGTACGCGGCAGCTCGGACGGGCGCAGAGAACAGCAGCAATGAGAGATCCGCCAGGCTGAGATTGAGGATCAGCGAGTGGATCAGGGAGGGCTTTCCCTTCCAGGCGCTGTGAAGGAGGGTGCCAATCACACACAGGTTCCCCACGAAGCCCGCCAGGCAGACGGCCACCAGCAGAGCCGGGACCAGGGCCCTCCAGTCCTTGGAGTCGGAGGGCAGGTACCCGCCAGCAAAGTGGAGGTGAGCCAAGGACACGTTCATGGTGCTGGAGTTGGAGCCTGGGAAGGCGGCTGCAGGCATTGCCTTTTCCATCCCGCACCTCCTTACAGAAGTCAGCTGCTTTGTGTCTTTTTGCCTTGGCTCTTTCGCTTAGAAAATAAATACGCTGTCGTCAGTGTCAAATGACACCTCTGGACCCTCCCCTTGCTTTCTGAGAGCAGGATGTGGAAGAAAGTTGACTTACTGAGCTCTTCTCGGGCAGCAGGGCGCATGGTTGCTGCTCATTAGCAAGTCTAACATCAAAGCGTCACCCCATGGAGAAAAACCCCAGTGTACCCATAAATGATAAATGAAGAGCACATACATGTAAGTGGGATAGGTTCCTGGGGGGCCACCAGAGCCAGTCAAGGCGGCTGTTTCCAACACCCCGACTGCCGCCTGTAATTCAGGCAACAGCACACCTGAGTCCCTGAAACGAAAGCACCACCACCACCTGCAGAGCGTGGCCCAGCGGACCTGGCGCAGGCCGGGGCAGATTTCTTCCCCCTTAGAAGCTGAGCAGCCTTCAGAGGAGGGATGATCCTATTTGCAGACTGTGATCGGAAAAAAAAATAAAAATGATGGGACCAGGGAGAGCTTGTGGTTTAGGATGAAGCCTCGAAAGGCAGTGCGAGGCAGGGAGAAAGGGAGACAGTGCTGGGACTCCGCATTCACTGCCTCCCACGCCTGGTTCCTCCGGCTTGAAAACGGGCTTCCACACATGCCGAGACCCTAGCAACAGGGCCGCCGCCACCCCACATGCCTCAGCCGGGTCCCAGGCTGCTGTTCCCGGCTGGCAGGGGGGCTGCACCCATAGTGAGGATGCCAAGGGGTAGCTCCTGCAAACTCAGAAGTGCTAATCAAAACAAAATCTGAGCTGTAAACTTTTTTTTTTTTAAGTCACAAGGGACCACAGGCAGCTTAATCTTCAAAAGAACCCAGACCAAGCAAATTGGTGGCCAAGCTTTTAAGTGGCTTCTGATAAAAGCAGAGCTAAGTGTGATCTCCCACCAGGTCTGGGCGAAGCTTGCCCTATAGCTCCGTTCCAGGGAAGGGTGAATGGTGCAGGCAGACCTCAGAGATACATGGGTTCAGCTCCAGGCTTCCACAATGAAGTATTGTAATAAAGAGTCATCTTTTTGCTGGTGGACGGTCTTGATTTCAATTTGTGAAAAAATGCAGCATCCGTGGAGCGTAATAAAGAGGTGTACGCCTGTAGTGACTGACAATCGGGTGCTGAGTGAGCTCTGAGTGCACACCTCTGCGTTACCTGTTCCATGCACCGGATCTTCCCAGCTGGAGAGGGTGCTATTACTCCTAAAGGCCACGGCGTCGAGGCATAGAGGTGAAACGGCTTGCCTGGGGTCTGAAGATCACACAGCTAGGAGATAACAGTTGGGAGAGAGGCCCCCAGGGTCTGACCCAGAGTGGGGTCCCTCGGCCGTCAGCTGTCCTGCCCGCTAAGGAGGCTGTGGGCTACTGACTTCCTTAAGCACCGTGGCTGTGAAATTGGTAGATTTCAGCTCAACAGCATATGTTGAGCCCATTGGCACCGAAAACAGAGCTCCCAGCCCCTTCCTCCTCTGAGCCCCGCACAGTGCCGGCCCCTGGGAGCCCGTGGGGTGGAGGGTCCCTTTCCTTGAGGGCCTACATTCTGGTTGGAAAGATGACCGACCAGGAAAGGTCAACGACCGTGCTGCAAGAGTCCTGGCTGCTGATGCCGGGATGGGGGCCACCTGGAGCAAATGGAGAGCCGGTGGGGAAGAGTCAGGCGGAGGCTCGGGCGGGGACCGGAATCCAAGCTGAGGCCTCGCCACGCACCCACCCGCTCGCCTCCACCGGAGCCTCTTTGGAGCTGGTCACCGCTGTGCGTGCGCGGCCCTGCATGGAGAGCCCCAGAAGACGGCTGCTTCCCATCAGGGCCCTTAGCGCGCTCTGCTGCAGGCCTCTGAGAGCTGGCCTCGCCCTCGGCCTCCGGGCTCCCAGGCTGAGCCCCGCAGGTGGGGCTGGGCCGGGGCGGGGGCCAGGCGGGGCTGCAGACCAGCTGCGGCTCTTTGGCGCGTGGAACACGCGCAGCTCAGTCTGCGTGGGCAGCGCATCCGGTGGCCCTCAGTTTGCAATCGCTTCACCACCCCTCGCCCCCGCTCCCAAAGCTGATAAAAGGCCGTAGGGCGCGGTCGGTGCTTCCTTCTTTGCCCACGGCCTGGCTTCGCCGAGGCCCCTTTCTCCCGACCTCTTTCTTGGACGGCTGTTACCTTGCTGTGGTGGAGCATCTTCTGCTGTGGCGCCTTCCTGCGTGGCGCGTCCCGGTCACTTGGCCTCCGGTGTCCTGGGGTGTGGCTCCAGGCTGCAGGTGCCAGCTGAGTGACAGTCCATCTCTAAGGTAAGTTGAGTAGATCTGGCCGGGTCTGAATGGCCACCCCTACAAGACAGCACCCCCTCCCCTGCCCCATCCCCCTTTCCGCCGCTGGGTCCCCAGCTCTTAAGACCAGTGTAGGGAAGGTGATGGAAGGAGATGGGTTGTGCTGTTTGTTACAAAACTCAGCAAGTCTAGAAAGGCAGGTGATGATTTTGTCCTGTTAGCAAATATCAGTGACAGTTTACTGTGCGTTTGAGTGTGTTTCCGGACCTGATGGCCACCCTGTGTATTTCCAGTGCCACAGACTGGGAATCAGGAGATCTGAACCCTGTCCCTGAAAAACGAGACTCTTGGATCTTGGATCTAGAAGGGGGCTTTTTGGATTGTCTGGGTGGAACCTTTATTTTCCAGGTGTGGTGACAGATGCTCAGACAGTGTAAGTGCCTTGTCCGGGTCACTGGTTCCTTGGTAGCAGGGCACCAGCTGGGCTCCAGGGGTCTCAGCCGCCAGAGTGATGCTTTTTTGTTTTCCACGGGGTTTGGCACCTTTCTCCTGCCAGGGCCTTTTGCCTTTGAGGTAACTCACGTTTTGACTTTGTGGGGAATAAAATCTGGACATAGATGTGAGGGCTCTTTGGGAAGCAAGAGGATGGTACGACCAAGAGGTGGCTGCCTGGGGCCAGCGTGTGCAGAACTCGCAACTTGCTTGGAAAAAAAGATCACCTGTGGTCCTATCCAAACAGCTGTGGTTGACATGGTGATGTATTTCCTATTAACTCTTTTTTTTTTCTTTGCAAGAGCTTGTTTGCTGTTTACATTGTTACGTGCACATTATAATGGCAGCTGTGAATTTTGTTATAATGTGATCAGAGGCCCTGGTCAACCAAAAAGACCCTGGAGGGGACGGACTCCCAGGGATTGATGTCACCATAGAGAGGATGGCGCAGGTTGCTGTCTCGTAGGGGCACATTGTCCGGAGAGAACAGCCTTTTCAGCAAGGAAAGGACTGAAATATCTATGTGGGCCCCGAACGGTTAAGATCATGCTTCGGACTTAATAAGCCCATCCCTGCCTACAGTTTTGTAGGCTGTCCTTTGCTGTGGGACCTTCCTGAGTGATACGTCCCTGTCCCATCATTTAGAGAAAAATCTAGGTGTTAAAAATCAAAATCAAAACTCCATTGCCACCATCACCTTATAATTTTTTTTCACATTCTTTAAAAAAAAAATCTTTATTGAGATATAATTCACATACCATACAGTTCGCCCATTTAAAGTGTCCAGCTGAGTGGTTTGGGGCATTTACTCTGCTCGTGTTCTTGCTGGGTGGCTGGCGAGGTGATGGGCTCCCTTCAGGGCCGGCTCTGGGCTATGCCCGCCAAGTCCAGCAGGTGGCACGGCATCTTCCTACGCGTTTCAGACACCCCGGGGGGGCGTGAGCTGGGGAAGGACCGCCCAGCAGAGACCCCCTGAACCTGACTTCTGGGCAGCGTGCGAAGAAAGGACAGTCCGCTGCTGGCCCTGAGCCCCAGACCTTGCCTTCCTTTTTAAATGGGAGAGGCAGTCCTTGCGGCCTATAGGTTTGCCCTTCATGTCTACTCTTGGGAGGGAAAGAAGTTTATAAAATTGTTTTCAGTCACTCCCCCCAAACACAATATCGTACTCTGACTCTTTGAAACAAAAGATGTTTGGGTGGAAGCGAAAAAAAGCCACAGTTACTTCAACCTGTGTATAAAATGTTGGTCGGTCGGCTTTTCTGCTGAGTGCATTAAAACGAAAATTTTAAACACTTTTCAGTCCCTCATTACAGATCCTTGGTGAAAGTTCAGGAAATTCTAAACTTTTTCTTCTAAAGCTACCGTCTGTATGGTTTTTACCCCTTTGTTCAGGAGTTGTCACTGAAAAGTTAAAATACGCACGTTCAAGTTATTCTCACAAAGCCTGTCATTTTTGCGCTCATAAAAAATTTTAAAATTACGTAGAGGAGGTGACAATGTCATCATTTTGTCGAAGAAACCGAAGCACCCAGAGGTTTAGACTTGTTGGTAGTTACAAAGCTCACAAGGTGCTGAACCGACAGAGACCCTGGGTTTCTGCCCTGGCTCCAGCTCTGCCCACCAGATCAGCTGCCTCCAATAGGGAGCTGTTTTCAGGTGTCCTGGCTTAGTGTCTATTGCTGCCGTAATAAGTGCCATGAATTTAGCAGCTTAAAACAACACAAATCGCCTTACGGTCCCAGGGATCAGAAGTCCTAAAATCAAGGTGTCGGTCCGGCTGCATTCCCGCTGGAGGCTCTAGGGGAGAACCCACTTCTCTGCCTCTTCTAGTTTTCAGAGGCGGCCCGCACCCCTTGACGCTTGGCCCCCTCCTCCGTCTGCAAGACCAGCAGCACAGCATCTACCCCTCCCCACTTCTGCTTTCATCGCCTCTCCCACTCTGACCCTACTGCCTCCCCCTTGCACAGGACCCTTGGGACTGCCTTGGGCCCACTGGATAATCCAGGATAGTCTCCCCCATCCCAAAATCCTTAATCACACCCACCAAGTTCCTTTTGCCACGTANGGGTGACCTTGAGCAAGTTACTTAACTTTGAACCTCAGTTCCTTCACGGATCAATGGAAGCAGAACTCCTCGATATTGCCACGAGAACAAAATGACATAATACATGTAAAATTTAGCAGAGTGCTTTGCAAATAC